TGCCCCTTCGAGCATGCCTTATATGTATGTGAAGATAAACAACTCTGGTGATATACTACTATTATGCATTTATGTTGATGACTTGATTTTTACGGGCAATAATATTAGTATGATTGAAGATTTTAAGAAGTCGATGATGCATAAATTTGAGATGACAGATCTTGGCTTGATGTCTTATTTCCTCGGCATTGAGGTAGTTTAAAGAGATGATGAGATTTTCATATGTCAATGGAGGTATTGTGTAGAGTTGTTGAAGAGAAATCAGATGTTTGATTGCAATCCTGTTAGAATTCCTTTAGAGGTTGGTACTAAATTATCTCGAGAAGGTAATGGTGCACAAGTTGTTGATCCTAACTATTTCAAGCAAATTGTAGGAGTTTGAGATATCTCACATGCACAATGCCAGATATAGCCTATGGAGTTGGTTTAATCAGCAGACATTTGGAGGACCCTTGCCAATCTCATCTACAAGTTGTAAAGAGAATTATACGGTATCTAAAGGTGACTTATGTTCATGGTTTGTTTTATTCTTTATCTAACAAGTGTGATGTTGTAGGCTATTCTGATAGTGATTGGAGTGGAGATCATGATGATCGTAAAAACACTTCTGGCTATGTCTTTAATTTTGGCACCACCGCATTTTCATGGTCGTCGAAGAAGCAATCTATTGTTGCACTCTCAACTTGTGAAGCAGAGTATGTAGCAGCGGCGTCGAGTGCTTGTCAAGCAATTTGGTTGCGTAATGTACTAAGTCAGATTCATATTCAAGTTGAAGGTCCTACAAAGTTTTATGTAGACAACAAGCCCGCAATTGATTTGACAAAGAATCCAGCCACTCATGGAAGGAGCAAACATATTCATATTCGTTACCACTTTCTACGAGATAATATTGAGAAGAACGAGATCGTGTGGATTTATTGCAAGTCTGAAGATCAAGTTGCATACATCCTCATGAAACCTTTGAAGTTTGAAGCGTTAGTCAAGTTGAAGCACATGATGGGAATGAAGACCTTACAAAATTAGGATTAATGGGGGATGTTGAAGTTAATCCTAATTCTAAAATGTTTTGAGTTAGTTATCTCTAGGAATTATATTCATACTAAAATTCTATTACGAAGCACTTTGCAAAGCCTTTAAATAGGCATTCATGCATCCTTGTACCTAAAAGAAAAAGAGAAGGGGAATAAAGAAAGGTCATGGTTACTGTAGCTACAGTAACCATGAATTATGGAGAGTTTTATTTTTATTTGCTTCTCCTACTAAATCTCTCCTCATACATATTATACTTGTATTTGCTTTGCCGTTGATTGCTCCAACAATCATTTATGAATTTAAACTTCCGTTCAATGGAACGAAACGCCTCTGCTTGTGTTTGTTTGACCGATTATTATTGTTATTATTAAGGTGGTGAGTATGCTTTTTATTTATTTTCTGTTCAAATCTGAAAGAATTTTCAGCTTAACCATGAGCTGGAGTAAATTCTCTTGTTAGTGTTAAGGTTAATTTTGTTGTACCCTGATGACGCTAAAATGTTATGTTTTTCACTCCCAAGCAACTTAAAACATCTGTTAGATGGACTTTTACTGCTGTTGAGCAGTATCTATGTAGAAATGCTTAATTAGTTCTTACAATAGTTTTTAAGTCTTATATCAGGTTTCAGTGACACCTTCATAATGACTAAAAGAATTGCCTGGAGCAAGATTCCATTTACTAATTAATCACTGCTAATCTAGCTAGATGCAATAAATATATGAAACTCTAGTATATATAGAATGCACCTGTTCTCCATCATCTTCTCATTCTTTATTGAAGTTCAGGTTTATCTTCCATGGTACTGTTTGAATGCTTTTTGAAAGAATTCCAATTGTGAGCATGAAGATGTTTGGTGGAGCAAGCTGTCGTGTGTGTGTGTGTGTATACCATTGTTTCCGATCAGGCTTATAAATATTGTTAATTAGGCAGCAGAAACAGCCGAAATTCCATTATCGAAATTTTATATGTTTGAAACATTTTATATTTTCATTTGCAAACAGATATTCAACAAGAACGCAATTAATCTTGAACTTAAAATTATAGTGGTAAGTTTAAACCAACACTTCACATCTATTAGATTTCTGACAAGTGTAACGGATTTTTGGAGTTACCGTCTGAATCATACAATGCCATATATTTCATCATATTAGAGTCTTTTATTCAAAAACCTTGTTAAATTTGAGCTGAGCTATAAACAAGAAACCTTATTCAAGTCTGCTAAGCAGACGTGATTATGGTGTATTAGATAAAACTATTTTTTTTTTTTTTTTGTTTATTGTAAATTATACTAAACACCTAAGAACTTTTAGCATTTTGTAGTAAGCCCCCAATACCTTTCAAAATCACACTAAGCCCCCAATAAATTCTTAGAATTGCAAAAAAAAAAAAAACCCAGCAAGTTTCCACATTTTGCAGATAATCCCCATAAGTTAGGAGGAAAAACACCATAAAAGGCATTCTAAAAGTTATTGTGGGTTTAGTGTAATTTACCCAAAAGATATTGGGGGTTAAGTGTGGCTTTGAAAGCCATTAATTGGTGGTCCACTGCAAAAACGTTTAAAGTTGTTGGGAATTTAAACGTTGCGCATAAATATTGAAGTCTTGAGCGTAACATGATGCTACATAATAAGATATTATGTAAAAGACCGAAATGACTTGTATGTGCAGAAGTCTCTAAGCGAATCATCAAATCTATTAGGATTATGAAGGTCCATGAGTCGACATACACAGTCTGACATAGAAAAGAACAGGGCATCCCATTTTGTATGTAAAAAATAATCAAGCTATTTGAACAATATAAGTTGTAATGAGCATCATGCATATGAGCGATTTCAAGTGAAGCGAATCCAGAGTACTTACCACAGTACTCTGGATATCAATTCCAGTACATTTACTGAATATGTGATTTTAGCGCTATTTATACTTAGTATGACATAAATAAAAATAAGGATGCCATGGTTCTATATCATAGACATCATAGTAAATTCTTCTAGAAGAGTACTACCTCATATTTCAGTAGTTAGCTGAGACGTAATACACATTAAATATTTGGAAGACACATACGATGCCCTCATGTCGATTAATGGACCACGCTGAAAGTATTATGAAAGAAACTCTGAGTTTCTTTATACAAATTCGTGATCCCCGTTGGTCAAATCCTGCAATCATCCAATGTAAGAAACATGTTTAGTGACAGATTAGATCAAGAAATTTAAAAAAAGGAACAGATCCTATGATCCTATGAAATTAAAAATCAAGAAAGCAACTGTTGTCGGCAATGATACCCTGCGACGCAGGACAGGACAAAGGGATCCATGGATTCCCATCACCCTGATAAATAAGCTTGGTCTAAAAATTATTGCAAGAAGAGAAATAAATGAAACATGTATTTAAGTAAGGGAAAACTGAAGAGACGCTGAATTAGATATATAACTGTAAAATAACATATTTATGCGCAGAATTGAAATTAAGCTTGCTCATTCTTGCTTAAATATAAACATTATTCAAGCATCAATTGGTCTTTATATATTATTGCAAGAAAAAACCATATACTACAAAAGATTGTTCATGTCATTTGGTGTCTTGTTTTGAAGGTGAACATTTAGCAAGGTACAAATCAATGTGTACGAATAACTGAAGATATTTTGGACTACCATCATAAATAGTATACATCAATTGAATTGAGAACTTTATAATCATGAAAATCCGGCGAATTTTTTTTGCACCTTAGGCCTATTTGATCAGATTCTAAAGATAATAAATCATTGGAAGCGAAAGCTTCCTAGTGAATAAAAGAACACTAGTAATTGGTAACGGATACTTCTTAACATATAGTTTGGTTTGAACAGAGAGCCTTAAGATAGCATATGCTAGGTATTTTATAGAAAAATTCACGTATATGAACAATGAAGTATATGCAATTGGCGACCCATAACATCATGCATGTAACAGACTATAACGGTTTATATCACAAAGCATGAAAAAAACATATGAATCAAGTAGATCATCATAAATCTATATACTTGATCACCACAACATAAGTTTTTTTTTTTTAAATCACTACAATATAATTCTCCACTACACTATGTTAACTATACTAACAATTAAACTATTATTGATATTTAATTTAAGCCTAAGAATAAACCTTTAAAGAACTCATTGAATATTTAATTTAAGCCTAAGAATATACCTTTAAAGAACTCATAGAAAATTTGTAACATTTGTAAGTTCAAACGTAGACTACACTTTTCTTTTCTACTAAACCTCTCACAAATAACCTACAATCACGAAAAATGGCAATAGAAGCAGCAAAAAAAGGAACGATACGGTACTTGTCATTTATTGATTAGGCGTCTATAATACCAAGACATCAAGGACATCAAAGAATAATTTATCCACTTTGTATGTCATCATGAAAGGAAGAAACATGAAGATCAAGACTTTAAAGAACAATGGTAAGATATTAGTTGCTACAGAAAGAACGAAAGGAGAAATTACAAGGAAAAATAAAGCCACTGTATGATATTACGAACAAAAACTCAAAATCCAACCTTCACTCCCAAGGAAAGAAAATTTTGAAGATAAGAGGGGTAAAATTCACCAAGGAAATTTTTACTCAAACTTCCACTTTTAAAGGGAGTATGATATGATATGATATTTTTCTTTGTATGTCAAATACATCACAATGAAAGCATCACTACAAGTTCGACAAATGCATGCAATATACACGAGATTAAAGTGTCAATTATTAAAAACTGTAATATATATATCTTGGATTTATTCCATGATATCCAGCTATAGTATTACTGATTGTTCTGTTGGCAAAAACCATTACAGACGCAAATGTATGTATACTAGCCAAAATTGCAAATCTTACATTCCCGCTTTAAAACATGCAAACTGTAGAAAAATACAACTTAGCGGGGTGAAACTATCAGTGGGACTATGCCAAGGACTACAAATCAAAATATTAAAGATCCATTGATGCATTAAACTTCAAAAATCTCTACACATGAGTTTTACCCAAAAGCACTGCTAGATCCTGCTCTATATCTACGTGAAAAGAGCTGTGCTTGACGTAGAAAGGGGTCAGATGTTCAAAAGACATGGTACAATCATCCAGCCGGACTACGACCAGCTGATCATGAACAGATTTCATCGACTTGGAAAACGCAGCTCCAAAGCACTTTATTGACCAAAGTTGGCATTTTCTAGCATTCCAGAAGTTCACCAGAAATTTATATGGTAAACCTAATAGAATTCCATCAGCTTCTCTTAGTATCTCCTTAACCTTCAAAAAGTGCTTTGGTGAATTTAAACAGACAATGCTGATCAAAACAACAGTTCGCAGGACTAATGACCGGAAAAACTCTAGAACCTTTACTCTGCCAACTGTTGCCCTGCGGAGATGTGATACAAACAGAAGCTCTCGGGCAGTGTCCAGAATAAAATCATATATGGAACAAGAAGATTCATAAACGTGTCTTAAGGATATGATGTCCATTGCTGCAAATAAACGGGAATACGGTCCGTACATCCTGGAGAACTTCAAGAGAGCAGAAGTTGAGGTGATGATCCAACCTCTACCTATTTCACATAATAACGCACAGAAGAGAACATCTTCAAGAAGCAATAACTGGTTCTGAAGGTCCAAGTTTGACAAAGCTAGAAACCTTTCCACCAAAGGGGTGGTACGCCAACAACCATTTGACCTGAACTTCGTCTGCTGCTGAAGTAAACGTCTCCATGAACGATTTGCACTTAATATTTGAGAAGCTCTCCAGAACAATTCGTCTCCCAATTCTCGAGCTAGCAGAAAAACTAGTGCTCTAGCAATTTTCATAGACTCAAAGTGATGACAGACAGGCTCTAAATTCTTGTCAAAAATAACAGTGACCAAGGCGATGGTTGCGCTTTGCGTACAAGAATCAAGCAAATCCAGAGTTATTGGTATATCACAATCTAACGGGAAGAATGTCTGAAACAAAAGAGGGCGGAACTGATTCAAGGATTCATCCAACCCATCAAGCTGAGATCTTGGGACAGAAATGCCATATTCTTTGAGGAAACCTAATGCCCTGTAAAAATGGTGTGCAATAACACCCCTCTGGATGACGAAAAACTCCTTTGATAAGAGAAACTTATGTAGATCTTTCAACTTTTGCAGTAACAAATTACCAATAGATATAATCTCAGATAGGAAGTGGTCCGCTGCAAGAGAATTGAACTCTGAATCGCTGATATAAGTAATATTGTCAACCATATGAACATTCCTTCTACCTTCATAATTCATCCATGATGCTCTGTGATTAGGAGAAATATAAACTCCTTTAACGTGTAATTTGTAGACACCAAAGTATTTCATACAGAACTTCTCATGTTTGGCATACTTGCTAACTACCGGAGTTCCATAGGATTGTACATAAAAAAGCATGTCTTTAATATTTTTCTTCCATAGATTCCAAGCAAACATAAGAACCTGAACAGACAAATACCCCTGAGACAACATATCATGCACAGTACCACCTCGGTATTGAACACGGGAAAAATCCAATTCATGATAAAATTTACAAACGTTTGCGTGTAGGCAGATTTCAAGCATGCAGCGCGAGGCCAAGATTTCTAAGCATATATTCTGGGAACGTTTAGCATTGTCAATGTGAATTGCCAAAGCAGAAATGTCAGCGCAGTGGTCTGCTAAAAAATTAGCTTCAGCAGAAACAGAAATCTCCACATCTTTGCATGCTAACATAGCTACGTCTTTTGCTTTTGCAAGAATGTTATCCAATTGATGAAACTGCTTTAAAGGAAAGCATTTATTTTTATCCAACCAGAGCATCTTTCCTACCACATCTGAAAGCATCAAACTTGAAGAACATACATACTCTTTAGCTTTTTGCATAATTTCAGCTTCAAAAAGAATATCTCCTCTCAACCTGGCAATAGCTGCAGCTTCTTCAAAATTCTCAGATTCCAGCAATAAGTTGATCAAATCATTTGGAAATGCCCGGACAAACTTCGAAAGAGAATCTAGGTTCTTTAACTTGTAATAGGACCTCAGAGTACTGTTGGCATAATCAATCCAATCGCTCGTGGAAACATGGATAGGCCATTCTTTAAGGAAATGAAATCCCAAATCAAAATGCAGACCTTCATGGCATGCTGACAAGCATTTAGAGAGGCATCTCCCTTGAGCATAGGCTTTGGCAGCCTCAGACCAACAACTAGCTAAAGCAAAACAATCACCAGCATCCTCAAACCTTGGCTCATGAAATTTGTCTAAATAAAGCATTCCTGAAAAAAAAACATAATGAATCAGTCTAAATTACACATATTAAGTATGATAAGGAATGAGTATAATGCACGCTAACAGAGAATTTACCCTTAAAAAAGCAGGTTAAAGTCCATATAAAGGTAGCATAAGGAAATATCGAGAATAAGATAAGCAATTAGTGCAAATTACCCATATTAAGTATCATAAGGAATGAGTGTAACGCAGACCAACAGTGATTTTACCCTTACAAAGTATAACAGAGGAGTTTATTTCCCCATCATAAATGTCATCAGCATCACTTTCCTGTTCTCATGAAATAGGGTTTCTATAAAGCAGAAACAAAGCAAAAATGAAAAAACTCTATAAAAGAAATGACCAGGTTTTCTGACCAGCTTTTAACATGATATAAAAACTTTGGGGTTTGAGGAATGTTGATAAGTGAAGGTGTTTAGCGGAAAGATACTATTCATAGACTGACAAGGATGAGAATAGCATCATCTTAACAGAGGCAATACTCTGTCTTCTCCCAAAAGTTCAAGATGTATGCAAACGTGAAATTTCCTACTTTCTGATAAAGTAGACATAAATATTAACATATATTTAAAAAACAAAAAAAAATCATTAACCTGCTTTTCTATACTTCTTTGCTTTCACTAAGCAGACTGCAGCTAGCTCTGCTCTCCCAATGATCATGTAAAGATCAGCTGCATTTAATAGCCAGTTCTTCGCCACATTAAAATTCGTGCGCAGCATCAGTGAACCTTCAGATTGAAGCCCTGCTGCCTTTGCCCAATTCTCCATGTACACGTTGCCTGATCTTTTGAAGCACAGAATTGACATCTCATAGTTCCCCTCATTTAAAAACTGTTTAAACAGAAGTGCCATAATATACACTGTAGTATGCTAATTCCAAAAAGGTAAAAAAAGAAGAAGTGTTTGATAGAGAAATTGAAAGCAAACTAACACAAACCTTTGTACCACGAGCATTCCACTCTTCCTTAGTACAAGTAACTTGCATTTTCTTGATAAACGTAAAGTCTAATCTTTGCACCTGTATAACACCAGCCGCCTTCCAGTACTCAAAAACTGGCTTCGCAAATACATTGTTGGTCTCAGCAATCCACAATCTGTTCCTTGTACGTGTCACAGCAACATACAATTGCTTCAACTCGGAGCAAAGTAGATGGTGCTTATCACAGTCAAATTGTGGAAAAGTCATAGACGACCAGGGGTTTACTATTTTTTTATCGTCCATGAATTCATAAACAATCCTCCAACGGTTCTTCAGTGGCGACTCACAAAAGAAATTATGTAAAAGAACATCCTGCAGAAAAAGTAGGCACTATATAAAATAAACAGTATCAAATTTCCAGTAGAAAGAATTAGGACATGAACTTTAACCTGAAACTCCAATCCTTTAGATTCCTTGATGGTCAAGACCATAGCATTATTTCCTATCTGATTGATGACTTTTTCCTTATCACGGTTATGACGTACCAAAATTACCTGCTCAGATACAAATTTCAGTGAGGAATTGTCACATGTATAGAAGGTCAAGAATATAGCATTATTTCCTATCTGATTGATGACTTTTATCCTTATCACAGTTCTGACGTACCAAAATTACCTGTTCAGATCCAAATTTCAGTGAGGAATTGTCACTTGTATCGGTGCCAAAAATAGTTTGAAGCACCTCTGTGTCGGATCCGGATTCTAGGACAACAGGAAATTCCCCATGTGCCTTGCTTTTTTCTGAAGCCAGTCGATCAACAGAGTCAGGAAAGAAATGGTACAACAAATCCAATACACTGTCTGCTAAGCCAAGAATACCGGAATGTGTACGAAAATTAGTGGTTAACTGGAAAAAGTTAGGAACAAGCCCAGATCTGGCCAGAATTTTTTTGTAGAACAAGCATTTAATATCCTGGAATCTAAAATCATTAACAAGAGCCTGTGCGCTATCACCAGCAAATTGAAATCCACTCTGAAAATTGATGCAAGTGTATTTAAACAGGCAGATCTGTTTCATTGTAAAATCTTGGACTTCATCAATGTACATAAAATCCATTTTACGACCATCATATCCATAAACAGACAATCTATAATGAAGATCATTAACCAAATCAGAGACATCATATTCTTCATTCGTCTTCTTCAATTTTTCATAACAGATGTAGATCTGATATACCATTTCTCTCTTTTCTTTGCCTACTAAAGAGCACCGTTTATTTGAGAGATTAAGATACTCTTCCTTCTTCATATTTTTGTAAATGGATGCTTCAGAAGATCCTATTTCACCTTTGATGCAATAAATAATATGGGCAAACACAAAAGATGGATCCAGCTTCCTAGTTAGATTTACATCAAAACGAGGCCAATATGAGGAGAGAAAAAGATCATAAGTAACCTCTTTATCTGTTATAAGCTGTTGAAGTACAGAAGTCTCCCTGGCCCTTCGTTTTCCACTGCTGATGACTTTTATATCAGAAAATGAACCAAAAAAGGTGTTCTTCACAGTTCCATCAAGCATGATTAAAAATTTCTGCAATGAAATTACAAGTGGAAAATGGCATTGTGAAATTTCAATCATGCTATCGGGTATTTCTGAAAACCTAGTCAAGTTTTCACTGCCACTGTATGCTTCGTTGACTGTAAACCCTTCAGGGCGTTCTTCACCAAGAGTATACCTAGCGATGAAAGAATAAAGTCACACAACAGTAAAGTTATATGTACAGTTGATAGCCACTCAGAAACTAGAGAAAAATATGAGAAAATAGACTTCTTTACGACCAAACCAGAAAAAATGAGTCAAGAAAACAAAATTATATAGTCAATTAGGAGTTACAAAAATATATATTCCTGGTGGTGACACACATCATATATGAGTAACATAAGTGACAATGTCAGCTTTTAGGTGAAGAACTAGCTAATAGGCAGCTAATATTCATGTTTTCTTGAAGGCCCAGTTTGGGAGTTTAGATGGAGGGGAGGGAACCCACCTCACACACACACACCACTTTTTTTTGTTTGTTGGATTTAGGATTGACAACATTGACAGTTAGCAGATCAGTGATTAGAGTATGGCAACAAAGATTCGGCAATAACATATGAGGTATTTCTTTAACCAGAAAGTCTATGACAAAGAGGCCATGATAAATTGTTCGTTATTAGTAATGTGTAGGCATCATAGTGCATTGATGCAGTTGCCAACTAAGGCATTCAAATTTTCGTTAAAGAAAGTAAACAAATGCATGTTTTACAGCTTATCCTGATGAAGCAGGTTCAACTAGTAACTGTTTACATGTAAATTGGACAACAAATTTCAAAGATCCATAACTACACATGGTAATGGTTTGGGGTTGGTATGACCACCGCCGAGCTCATTGTCAACAGGAGATAAATAGCAACGAACACGTAAAGGTAGTGATGCCAAATTTGAGTACATGCGTGAATTAGCATTAGTATGGGAGCAAAGTCTACTTTTATTTTGTTCAGTTAATTCTATGGATGAGAAAAGAGAGATCCCATGTGCATAGGATGAGAAAAGAGAGATCCCATGTGCATACAAGTGATTTATAACTTAAATTAAAGGAATGCACGAGTTAATTGAACAAAAAGAAAGCAAAACCTTCTAAGTCGTGTGATATAGTCCTTTACAGAAGAACAAAGGATAGGGTTAACTGTCAGAAAGATCTGGCTCAATGCATTTTCTGTAGGAGAAGCAAGATCATCATATTCTCCAGTACAATCTGGACCAACATGTGCATGAAGCTTCTCCATAGATGGGCCTTGCAATGCTAGAAAATATAGTTGCTCCCGCTGAATTAATTTTGTCATCAAAACCAGAGTTTTACCAGTACCTGATCTCCCAAGTATGAAGACACTGTCTGGGAATGAAATTATCTCTGATTCAACATCGCTTACTTCAAATGGAAGCTCAATTTCTTGACCATCGGAAGCATTTAACAAGTGCTTCACGTTTCTAGAGGACAAAGAATAGAATTTCATCAGCATCAGCCCATCTTTGTGTTTGACGCTGCTAGCACCATCGAGCAATGACACCACTCTACTTTCAGTTTGGAAACCGTGTATAAGGTGTAATTCGTTAAGTGATAATTCATGCGATACTTCCCAGCTCATTGGCACTACAAGGTCCCTGAGATAAAATATATTATTTTTAAGGAATTAATCTTTATATGCAGAATAAAAATGGAAAATAAAATTCATTTAGTACTCAAATGTAGCGAAAAGGGAAAAAAAAGATTTATCAACCTAGATATAACAGATAACTACTGCTTCCAAAAGTTACAAGAAACAGGGGAGATTATTACCCTTCAACCTTTTCAATACTGCAGTATTTAACATATTTATCCCCAAAAGAAGATGCCATGTCATCAAGACCTCGAATAAGTTTTGGGATTTCTGCCAAAGTCAAAACGTCCCAGATCTTAATCACTTGAATAAACTGTATTTCTCTAATAATGTCCACTGTGCAGACAATGGTCAAACCGTGAACCCTGAATTGTTTGATGTACTTGGAGAAATAAAGTCTTTTACGCTTAGGTCGCCAACCACAGGCCAGTCTCCACAGGAATGCAATTATAATTTGTTGGGTCAAAGCACTCTGTATACCAACAAATGACTTCTTGAAATCATTGCTTACTAGGACCTGTTCACAAAAAGAAAGAAAATTATTAATTAAAGAGTAATAAAACAAATGAATTAGATGTGATCCATTTGAATGGTCACCGGATACCTAGCGGAAAACAACAATGGATCAAGATATATACTTCATGTAGCTATTAACAGAAAGAAAAAAAAAGCAGAGAACAATGGAAATGGCAGATCTGGAGCCACCTTATAAAGCTAAAATATATTTTAATAGAGCTGGACTCTAGGAACATTCAGAAATGAGACAAACTGCAACATTTAATATGTTTGAATAAATAAAACCAAAATCCGAAGAAACCGAAAAAGAGGCGCACTAAGGTACACAATGATATACTCTAACAATACATATGCTTAAAGATGGTTACATCTTCAACCCGATGAAAAGGTACAAATAATATGCAGAGCAAACCTTCCACTTCGTCCCATTAAAATGGACTCCTCCCTGATTAAGTAATTCATCAAGCTCCTTGATCTCATTCTTCACAGTAAATATGGTTTCGGCAAGAAACTTAACCTGAGATGCCACATACAAGCAACCACGCTCTTCAGCATCAAGAACAACTTCTTTCCATATGGAAGAACTTTTCTTCAACATTTCTCTGTTTCCTACGATCCAGAGAAATTTCCTGCTTAAAAAAATCAAAGCCATCAGAGGCCAAGTAGAGAGTAAGTTGCAACATAGGATGCCTTCTACATGTTTTTGAATTTATGATTTATGATTAGCAAAAAAATAGGTGTATGCCAAACATGATGGACAATTTTTTTCTTTACCTGGCTCTCGTTAAACAAAAGTTGGTAACCTGATTGCCAAGAAGTGATCTGAGACCACTACGGTCATTACAACATACGGTTGATATAATTATGACTTCTTCTTCACTTGATTCAATTTCACTTACAGTCTTTATCCAGATCCGAAAACCACTAGCAAGCTCAAATTTGTCTTGGAGCATAGATTGAATGGTTTGAACTTGCGCAGAACTCGGGGAGATCACTCCAATGCTTAGTCCCTTCCAGGAAGAAGCTGAAGAATATTTCAAGAAACCCAATCAATGGAATATGAATACACTCCGAAGTAACAGAAGGAACTTTACAGGAAGTTAAGGAGCACTTAGAGCAGGGAAAACATACACATGGAAAATCCAATGATTTCTGTTCATAAGAGGAAATAAATGAGCTAGCCTTGGATTTCAGTCAAACAAGAGCCATGGAAGATATAAAGGGGCTCTCCGATATATGCCAAAACTAGCCATATAAGGCCCTATATAAAGGTTTAATTTGCTCCCGAGTGCAAGCAATCCCCAGCTCAAGTTATCTGGTAATCAAGAATCCAATTCTAACTCGGATCATCCAGAATTTGACCTTTTTTGCACAAAATTGGTTGCTATAAACACAATTTTTAGATATCATAGGAATGTGCAAACGGGGTGATCCGCAAAGATTAATAAATGTGACTTGAAACAAACAAAGAGAAATTGGTCAGGAACCAAATAGGAGTATGCAATAAATGGAGCAATACATCCCTCAAGAGGAATGGAGAGCAGAATTGCTAAGAGCCTAATAAAGTAATAACTGGATGCAAGAAATTGAATTAAACTCCCTCTCTTTTTTCAAGCCTACTCAAACTTTTGGTGAAACTACAATGTACTTCTTATGAACAACTATCATGAAGTTTCTAATAAATATACTCAAACACAGAAAACAACCACATGTATTTTTTATAGTAATTTTAATATCACCATATTTTTAAATAGTATAAGCTTCGAACGTATTTTTATAGTAATTTTAACCTCACCATATATTTAAATAGTATAAGCTTCAAACTCCATAGCCCTTTCTATTGCAACCGAAAATACAAGTGATAGTTTGAAAAACTTTTGAGGAAGTCCTTATTTGTTTTGTATAATTAAACAAGTTACTGCAAGTTTCTCTGCAAAGGAAAAACTTAGTTTCTATTTATAACGTAGCCCTAAAGAAAGATAGAAACAGAGGTAAACCATGCAAATTAATGACGATAGTACATAGAAGCTAGCATTTCGCAGCTCAAGATCGTTTACCTCTAATAAGTTTCAAAATAATTTTGCAGATAATTGCTGCTTCTAGCAGGTTCCTTGGGCATTCACTTTGTTCTTCGATCGTTTCTCTTCCATCTGAAACATCCAGAAATCTATATGCTCCAGATATACACTCCGGAAGAAGAGGTATCTCCTTTTCCCTAGCCACAGTTGTTTGACTGTCTAAGAGTTTCTGCTTAAAGAACTTCTTATTTGGGAAACAACTTATGAACGGATGCATTCTGTACTGCAGAACTAGATTACGTTCTTCGGGATACAGGAGGTTTAGCCTTTTAAATAGGCTCCGTCCATAGCCAATCTGCAGAAGATTCTGAAAGACAGAAGAAAAAAATTGTATTAAACAACAAAATTAAAGGAACAAAGTGACCATAAGTAAGAGTGATATTGAACCTTGCTTATGATGGAAGCTGGCTTGTAACCATTTCCTCCAAAAAGAATAGCATGATGTAATCCATCAAGTTGAAGTAAAGGAAGAGACTCGCACTCCATGATCTCACAGGCCCTGTCAACAATGAGTAGATCCAAGCCACAACTACCACATGTTCTTTTTAGTTCCGCTAAATCAGATATTGGGCAAAAAAGCAAGCGTGCATGCTCCAAATACAGATGCTCAATTGACTTCTTATCTGCTGTTACAGGAATTCCTACAGTATTAATCACCGAATGGATTGCGCCAAGACAAGAATTTCTTAATGTGCAAAATTCTTTCCACTTCAAATTTGCACCATCACCAGAAAGAAATTTCAGCATAGAATCTACTATACTTAGAAGTGAAGTTAAATTCTGCATGCCACAATCTGACAATAAAGAACAGGGTATATATTTTAATAGCAACTGTATGTGGTTCTTCAGTGTTAAAGCAGTAGAAGAAATTTCCTCTTTCAAAACTTCCAAATTCTCTGGTTGATACACATTTTTCTCACACTCCGAAAATGTACCATGCTCCCTCTCCAAAATACTTACCAGCTCAGTCAAACATTCTTTCCATCCATGGTAGGAGGAAAAGCAGGGTTTTAGAAGTTTAGTTAGTTCGTCCAGAGGTACGACAGAAAGCCCGCTAAAAATATTCTGGTGCATGCTGTTATATTCTCCTAATAATACAATATCTGAGCGGGTCAATCCGGTAATCCCATCATCAAAGGTATTGCAACTATGCCCAACAATCTTTAGAACTCGTGATACTATCTCAAGAACTGAGTAAGGGTTCGGAGCACATACAGCAACCTTACATTGCCTCAGCAAGGCTATTGAACAAGCTGTCGCAATGATCTCGGTTTTTCCTGTACCAGGAAAACCAGATATTCTTCCTACAGAAAATGCATGAGAGCATCTCATACAGGAAAGCACTTGGCATACAGCTGCAATTTGAGCTTCATTCAGCTGTTTCACCTCAAGATTCTGTAACAGAACTTCATTTTGTCTACACTCACTTTGCACACAACAAGAACAAGCACTCTGAACCTACAATCACAAAGAGATAACAAACGTTAAATTAGAATACATGAAAAAACTGCCAAAACATGTAACCAATAAATTTGACCAGACCACATTCGCCCAGTAATAATCAACAGAACTAGACAAATAAGTCGGAAATAAAATAACAAAACTGTACAGAATTCATCATCTCTCACCAAACCATCCTGATGAAGTATCTGCTTGATCAAGTTCAGATTCAAACCCGGAGCATCGACATCCGCATTCAAAGAATTCCAACGGCTTTAACTCCATAACCGGCCATCTCACTCAATTTCACCCTAAACCATCTCTTGTCAAATTCGTCAGCACCAGTAACAAAAGCTAAACAGCTAAACGCCCCAGCATTCTTCAATTCAGCGAAATCTTTCGGCGCCAAAGTTGACAAAAGTGTTAGGATTCACCCCAATAATAACGCCTCGAACGGAGACTTAATCACAAAATAAAGGCACAAAATTCAACACAGAGTACTCACAGATATACGTGGTTCACTCCTTCGGAGCTACTCCACGGTGCAACGACGGCCGTATACTTCATTTGTGCAACAACTATAAAGAGAAGACACATGCCCTCCTCACTACTCACTAGTGGTTAAGAAATATGGTGCCACGGTTATTATTATTGACATGCAGAGGTTACTTCTCTTTCCTATTTGATGACAAAAGTGTTAGGATTCACCCCAATAATAACGCCTCGAACGGAGACTTAATCACAAAATAAAGGCACAAAATTCAACACAGAGTACTCACAGATATACGTGGTTCACTCCTTCGGAGCTACTCCACGGTGCAACGACGACGCCAAATTCTTTAATATCCCAAAAGAATTGATCCAAGAGAACACCCTCTCTTGATCAGATACACTCCAAGAACTCTCACAAACTCTCTCTTTGTTTTCTCTTACTCTTCTATAAGAGGAGTTGTTTCTGGGATGAGATTTCCTTAAGAGTTTAGGGCCCTATTTATAGTGTTTGAGAAAACACTATGCACAAATATAATATTATATGTGGGACCCGCCACTAATAATAAAATATTTGTGGGACCCACATCCTTTATAAATTCTCAACAATGGCTGCCACCGAATTTGATTTTTCTTCTTGTGGGGCCCGCCTTTGTGGGCCCCACTTTTGTTTTCATGTTGGCTGGGTCAAAAAGGTTGGGCGCCTGACAATCTCCCACTTGAAGATTTGATTGAATGTCGATCATATCTTCACACCACTCTTGGTTGCATCATCCGGATGTCATGTATCTTTGGCGTCTTGCACGGCCCTCAACATTCTCAACGGAGGCCATATGAGGCTGCACACAGCCTCACCTTCTCGAGTGGAACTGGCTTGGTCAGCATATCGGCTGGATTGTACCTCGTATCAATCTTCACAAGCTTGAACTCGTTCCTGCTTTGCCATCTCCGTATGGCATGGTGCTTCACGTCAACATGCTTGGTCCGAGCATGGAATGCGTCGTTCTCTGACAAGTGAATGGCACTCTGACTATCACAATGGATGAAATATTTCTCAAAGCTTACTCCAAGCTCGAGAAGAAAAGCCTTCAACCATAGCAACTCCTTTGCTGCCTCTGCTGCAGACACGTACTCGGCTTCGGTTGTCGACAAAGCCACAGTATCCTGTAACTTGGATCTCCAACTTATCGCTCCAGCTACAATGCTTAGCATAGTTCGGATCGGGGTCAACTTGACGACGGGAGCGAAAACGTCAGAATAATCAATCCCTGCTTTCTGTTCATAGCCCTTCACTACAAGCCTCGCCTTGTAGCGTCTCCGTCCATCGGCTTCATCCTTGACCCGATAAATCCACCGATTGTGAAGAGCCTTTCGCCCTCGTGGAAGCTTTACAAGCTCCCAAGTCCCATTCTTCATCAATGACTTTATTTATTCCTCCATGGCAGACTCCCACTCGCCGCGAGCTTTGCCGGTCTGCTGTACCTCCTCATAGCTCTCTGGCTCATCATTATCAGTCAGGAGAAGGTAATTCATGGTGGAAAGGTACCTCTCTGGCACCCTTGGATTTCTTGGAGCTTTGCGAATTGCGATCGGCAACTCTGCTGGATCCTGCTGCTGTGCATCCTGCATGTTCTCTTGGTCTCCGTCTTCTATGCTGATTGGTATCTCACCACCGTCCTCACTGTCAGCAATATCTGGAAAAAGAGGGGGAGATAGCTGACTCCCACTCACCTCTTTGGTCTTGTACATCGCATTCTCATGGAATACGACGTCACGACTGCGCACCACCTTGCGCGCATCGTGATCCCAGAAACGGTACCCATACTCATCTCCTCCATAGCCGATGAAAGAGAGCTTCTTTGACTTTGGATCAAGCTTTGACCGGTCTGCAGGATTGGTCATGACATAGGCGTCACAACCAAATACTCGTAAGTGCTCTAGCTTCAGCTTCTTTCCGGTCCAAGCCTCTTCAGGTATCCCATAATTGAGAGCCGCGGATGGCCCGCGGTTGATCAAGTATGCAGCAGTATTGACAGCTTCAGCCCAAAAGCTCTTGGGCAATCCGGAGTGGATCCTCATACTTCTGGCGCGCTCCAAGATAGTGCGATTCATGCGCTCCGCCACTCCGTTGTGCTGAGGTGTGCTTGGGACGGTCTTCAGTCTCCGAATCCCACGGGACGAGCAGAAGTTCTCGAACTCTTGGCTGCAATACTCGCCTCCATTATCAGACTTTAGGCACTTCAGCTTATTGCCTGTTTCGTTCTCCACACAGGCAAGCCACTTCTTGAAGATGATGAATACATCTGACTTGTGCTTCAAGAAGAACACCCACAATTTTCTCGTAGCATCATCAATAAAAGTGACAAAGTAAAGAGAGTTACCAACAGATGGGACTTGCGCAGGTCCCCACACGTCGGTGTGCACCAACTCCAATTTCTGCAGTTTTGGAGCCGGTCCGGTCTTGTTGAAGCTCACCTTCTTTTGTTTGCCTAGGATGCAGTCCTCACAGAAAGTCAGATCGATCTTGTTCAGACCCGGAAGCCTCTCTCCCGCGGCCATAATCTGCATCCCCTTCTCGCTCATGTGGCCAAGTCGTCGATGCCAAGTCATGCAGTCGACGAATGATGATGATGATGCTTGTCCTGCAGCAAGCAAGTGGTCGATCTTCCCGTTGGCGATGTAGAGAGACCCCTCGCGTTTGCCGTGTGCCACCACCAGGGCACCCTTGGACACCTTCCAGCTTCTCTGCTCGAAGGATACTCTGTAACCGGAGTCAGTCAGTTGCCCGACTGATATAAGATTTCGCCTGAGATCTGGTACATGCCGAACATCATTCAGCGTCAAGGTGGTCCCGCCCTCCATCTTGAGGGTACAATTTCCCTTCCCGGAAACCTTACAAGGTTGATCGTCGCCAAGATAGACTGTCCCCAAGTCCTTCTTCACGAACGATGAAAGCAGCTTTTGTTGTGAGGTTGCATGGAAAGATGCGCCAGAGTCGATGACCCACGCATCACTTTTGTCTTCTAGGGATAGGAGAAGTGCATCCGAATCCGTCTCGTGCATGAGATTGGCTGCACCGTCAGCCCGATCATCCCCTGCTGATGCTTGAACAGTAACTCTGCAGTCCCGTGCAAAGTGGCCCTTCTTTCCGCATCTGAAGCACTTCCCTTCACCGTAACCATTCGGGTTAGGCCCTTTAGACTTCCCTCTGGATTTTGATTGGCCTCGTCGTCCCCTACCCTTCTTCTGTGCACGCCCTCGTACCTCGACATGCAGAGCACTCCCACTGCTAGAGGCCTCAGCTCCTGAGACTTTGCGGCGAGATTCTTCATCCAGAATTGCCCCAACCACTGTGTCGAGCTTCATCTTGTCATTGCCATTAGCGTTGCTCACCGCCATTACCATATTTTCCCATGAATCTGGTAGACAAGAAAGTAGCAGAAGAGCTTGGATCTCGTTGTCGAACTTTAGATCTACTGCAGCAAGCTGTTGCACCACAGCCTGAAATTCGTTCAAGAAGTCCGCCACGCGAGCTCCTTGCTGCATCTTGAGATTGAATAGCTTCTTCATCAGGTACACCTTATTTGAAGCAGACGGCTTCTCATACAGCGCCTCCAAGGCCTCCATCAACTCCTTGGTGGTGGTCGCATGCGAGACGTTGTAAGTCACATGCTGGTGAAGGTTGAGCCTGATGGTGGCAAGTGTTTTACGATCGAGTACCTTCCACTTATCGTCGTCCATCTTCTCAGGTTTCCCCGCCTCTCCTTGGAGGGGTAGGAAGAGATCCTTCTGGTACAAATAGTCTTCTATTTGCATCCTCCAATACCTGAAATTTTGGCCGCCGAACTTCTCAATTCGAAGCCTGTTGTCTTCAACTGTAGATCCCATGGCGAAAGATTACGTCTTTCCCGTATTCGTCAATAGTACAGTATTCGTGAATAGTACTGTATTCGTGAATAGTACCGTATCCGTGAATAGTACCGTATCCGTGAATAGTACCATATTCGTGAATAGTACCGTATTCGTGAATAGTACTGTATCCGTGAATAGTGCCGTACACGTGAATAGTGCCCAATGCCTTAAAAGAGTAAATATTAATCTAACTTATTTTCTGATGTGGAGGATCCACTTTTAGTGGCAGCCACAGAGCATACGATAAGCAGATATATATACTCTAAGTCAGGCTCTGATACCAGTTGTTAGGATTCACCCCAATAATAACGCCTCGAACGGAGACTTAATCACAAAATAAAGGCACAAAATTCAACACAGAGTACTCACAGATATACGTGGTTCACTCCTTCGGAGCTACTCCACGGTGCAACGACGACGCCAAATTCTTTAATATCCCAAAAGAATTGATCCAAGAGAACACCCTCTCTTGATCAGATACACTCCAAGAACTCTCACAAACTCTCTCTTTGTTTTCTCTTACTCTTCTATAAGAGGAGTTGTTTCTGGGATGAGATTTCCTTAAGAGTTTAGGGCCCTATTTATAGTGTTTGAGAAAACACTATGCACAAATATAATATTATATGTGGGACCCGCCACTAATAATAAAATATTTGTGGGACCCACATCCTTTATAAATTCTCAACAATGGCTGCCACCGAATTTGATTTTTCTTCTTGTGGGGCCCGCCTTTGTGGGCCCCACTTTTGTTTTCATGTTGGCTGGGTCAAAAAGGTTAGGCGCCTGACAAAAAGAAAGACATCACCCATGCTCGGATGAAAAACACTCTCGTCTCTGAAACGAACAAATAAACCTTTTTCGTCTTCTTCAATGCTCGCATTGAAACGAGGAGCACTAGCAATGCGATTCAAGCAAGATTCCAGCTGAGCCCTAATCTCCTCGAGGAAAGGGTATCGAAAACACTCGAAATAGTGGGTCACAGACACAAATGTCCGAGGAATTTCCCTTATCTAGACAACAAAGAGGAACACAATTAGATAAATTGAATTGCAATTCAGCTAAAATTACAGGAAAAAGCGAAAATTTAATAATAATAATAATAATAACCTGATCTTTAAAGAGATTTTCATTGAGAATATCATCAAGGGACCACATTCTGATGACATCGAGCAGCTCTTCTTTCTTCCTCTTGAACGAGGTCATCTCCAAAACAAGGATCAGAGATCAAGCTGTAGAATTTAGTTAGAAGGGGTAAATTTTGATAAACCCTTGAGGGTTTTTTCTTTTTTCTTTGTCTTTTTCTCTTTCTCGTTTTCATAGTATATAGATATAGAAGAAGCGCGAAGATCGATGAGTGGGGAAGTGAAACCGCTGAAGACGAAGCGTCGAGGGGAAGCGGAGGAGTCATGATCGGTGGTGATCTTGGACGATTTTTTTCCCGCTTCTTTACTTTGTTGGGGTTTTTCTATATCAGCCCCTTAAACAATTAGCATTGTGATGTTATTTGCTCAAATCTTCATATTTTGTATTAGTCCCTCACATTGCAGAAATATGTTGATTTTAGTCTTTACAGTTAATTGAGCTAATAAATATCAGGAAATATTTCGTTATGTTTAGATTAATGCCTCAAGGACCCAAAATATGGGACCAAGGGGTGGGACAAGTGATGTGTCCCTCCTCTATTGGATAATGAGTTGGCATGACCAACTCATTGCCAACTCATTATCCAATAGGGAAGGGACACATCACTAGTCCCACCCCTTGGTCCCATATTTTGGGTCCCCGTATCAGCGCTATTATGTTTAACTTTTTATAGGATGAACAGTCATACCCTCTCTTCTTTATACACAAATCCACATATTCATTAAACTTAAGAAATCCAAAAAGATCCCAAACCAAAGTTGTTTCGTTGATCGTCTCCTCCAAATGGCCCATTAAACAGCAAACCTATTTACTTCGGAAATCACCACTTTTCTTCATTAGAGAGGGGAAGATGAAGAGAGAGGGGAAATGAGGGTTTTGTGGGTGGGTCAAGGGTTTTGGGAAAAAAAAACTCAACGGAGAGACTAATATCAACTTATTTATGCAATTTGGGGTACTAATATAAAAATACTAATGATTTAAGTGACTAATATTGGAAAACCCCTTCTATGATTTGTTAGATTAGGAAATTGCAAATAACACCCTTCTATTTTAATTTTGCCTTTTTTTAGATATTGTTCACTCAAATCTTCAATGACTATATATTAATCCCTTAATTTTTGGAAAATACTCATATGTTCCTAGTATCTCAACGGGTCTTGCAATTTGTTCACTTTGTTAGCTTTTAGTTAGAATTAGAAACCATTGTTGGATTAATTCTTAATCCAAAACCTTCAATTGCCAAAATATCCCTCAGTTGCCAATTTCCAAATATACCCCCCTATCTAAGTTGTCCTTCTTCAATCTCAGTCATGAAGATTGGATCTTGGAATGTCAGAGGGTTAAATGACCCTGTGAAGCGTAGAATTGTTAAGGAATGTATTAAGATGGCCAAAATCAACCTCCTAGGTATCCAGGAATCCAAACTCAACCCCTTACGGCCAAATATTCTCAAAAGTTTTGGGGGGGGGGGGGGGGGGNTTCAATCTAGAGGGGGTGTCCTCCTAGGATGGGATGAGTCTATGCTCTCCTGCTCTTCCTCCTCCTCAGGCATCTTTTCAGTTTCAGCAATCTTTACTCATATTCCTTCTAATTGGCGATTTGCTGCCACATCTGTTTATGTCCCCTGTGATAATGAAGATAGAGAAGTCTGTTGGTGGGAAATTCAAAGGATCCGGTCCTCCATTACTTTACCTTGGGTTGTCTTTGATGATTTCAATATGACTCTCAGCTCTTCTGAGCGCAGCGGTAGATCAGGATCCCTTCGTGACATCGCCGCCTTTAAAAAGTTGATTGATTCCTGTTGTCTTATAGATCTTCCTCTCAACGGTAGAAAGTTTACATGGTCAAACCAGAGATCTCCTCCTGTTCAAGCAAGGCTTTATAGGTTCTTTGTCTCTTTAGACTTCGAAGCTCACTTCCCCCTCCTTACTCAATACGGATTCCAGCCTCCGTGCTCTGATCACTGGCCCATCATTTTGGACACCACCACATCCTTTCAACCTCCTCTGTTCAGGTTCGAAAAGTTTTGGCTATCCCTCCCCTCCTTTATTCCTTTCATCCAATCATGTTGGAAATCATTCTCCTCTAATAATGATCAGCAGATCCCCTTGCCTCTTAAGCTGAAATACATCAAGAAAAGAATTAAATGGTGGAAAAAATCTTCTCTTGGTTCTCTCAATCAAGCTCTCTCTAAAGCCATGACCACCCTAAACTCCCTCAACTCAATTGAGGAGTCCAGAGTTCTTTCCAACCAAGAATCTCTTCTTAGACTCAAAGTTAAGGAGGATATTCGTCATCTTGCTAAGGCAGAAGAAACCAAGTGGAAGCAAAGATCTAGAATCCAATGGTTGAAAGAGGGAGATAATAACACAGCTTTCTTTCATAGAACTGCATCATATCATAGAAGGAAAAACTTTATTCCACATCTCCTCATCAATAACTCTATTATTTCCTCTGATTCTGACATGAAGTCAGCTTTCTTTGACTATTTCTCTGATCTCTTTCGCAAACATCCAGATCCTAGATTGGCCATCAATTGGAGCTCCATATATCCTGATAACAGCCTAGATCTTTCATCTCTGGACACCCCTTTTTCCCCTCAAGAAATCGAAGCTGCTGTTTTTGACCTGCACCCTGAGAAATCCCCAGGCCCAGATGGTCTTCCCCTCCTGTTCTATCAAAAGTTTTGGTCTTCAATTCATCTTGATATTATCTCTTTCATTCAATCCCTCTATTTTCACCATTCACTTCTCCACAACATTAACTATTCATACGTCTGTCTCATCCCTAAGAAAGAGGGTGCAAATTCCCCTGCTGACTTCAGGCCTATTAGCCTTCTTAACAGCACTTGCAAGATTTTCACAAAAGTATTGGCTAACAGACTCAAAATTTTCATCCCTTCTCTTGTTGATAAGTCTCAGGCTGCTTTTCAAAGTGGGAAATCAACTCTGGATTCCTTTCTCTTGGCTCACGAGATGATTAATTTCTGCTCATCTGGTAAAAAGGAGATATGTGCCATCAAAATTGATTTTTTTAAAGCCTTCGACTGTGTCAATTGGAACTTCCTTTTGAATCTTCTCAGAGCTAGAGGTTTCAGTCCTCTATGGTGTTCCTGGATACAAAATATCCTTTCCTCCTCCAAATCAGCAGTCTTGGTCAACGGCTCTCCAACCAAATTCTTTCAGTGTCATCGTGGTCTTAAGCAGGGTGACCCTCTCTCACCTATGCTTTTTCTGTTGGTCGTGGACGTCCTTAGCAAAATGATTAACAAAAGTACAGAATCGGGAGATCTTTCTAGTCTCAACCTTAAAGGAGAATTAAATCATATCAGACTGTTGCAATTTGCTGACGACACCATCATTTTCTCAAAAGCCTCTCAATCAGACATAGCTACCCTCAAAGCAGTTCTTTTGATTTTTGCCAACATATCAGGTCTCAAAGTTAACCACTCCAAAACGAGTCTCTTCTACTTAGGTAAAATTCCTTATAAGGGAGCTCGTCTTGCAAGTATTTTTAACTGTTCAGTGGGATCTCTTCCGTTTTCCTACATCGGCCTTCCTCTGAAGAAAGGCTCTCTTTCGAGAAGAGATTGGCAACCTATTTTGGACTCTTTCTCTAAAAAACTGGCATTATGGAAGAATAAATCGCTATCTTTAGGCGGGAGACTTACTCTGCTCAACTCAGTACTCTATTCCCTTCCTTTATATTATATGTCTTTTCTTAAATTGCTTGTTTGGCTCACTAAAGCTATAGACAGATTGAGAAGAAATTTCCTCTAGCGTGGACAGAACCAACCTTCCAAGATTAAGTGCCTTATCAATTGGGAAACAGTTTGTAAAGCCAAGAAAGAAGGAGGTCTTGGGGTCAAAGACATTTCCTCCTTCAACTTAGCCCTCCTTTCCAAGTGGATCTGGAAGATTATGGATAATAACTCCCTTGTTAGCAAAGTAATCTTCTCTTTGTACTCAAAAGGCAAATTAAATCCTCTGGTCCATCCTCCTAAGGGCTCAGCCTCCAGATTCATCCAAGATTTGCATTCAATCTGCCTTCCCTTCTTCAGCCACGTTAGATGGATAATTGGGGATGGTAAAACTTGTAGGTTCTGGCAAGACAAATGGTCTGGTGCCAATTCCCTCAGTAGCCTATTCCCAAGAGCTCATCACCTTGCTTTCTCCAAGACCTGCAATATTCTCTCACAAGGATCTATGCTTCTTAATGCCTGGCAGTGGCACCCTCTATTAAGAAGAGGCATTTCCCAGGAAGTAAGGGATGAAATCTCCGCTCTCCTCAATCATCTTTCTCAATTCTCTATCTCTGGCCACTCCAACCATGACACGCTCCTCTGGCCCTATCATTCCTCAGGTACATACACAGTTAAATCTTTCTATACTCTTATCACCTCAGGAGGAGTCATCTCCCGGCACTTCAGATTCATATGGGCTTCTCCCATACCCCTAAAGGTTAAAATCTTCTTTTGGATTGCTAGTAAATACAAATTAAATACTAGGGATAACCTGGTGTTCAAAGGATGGATCTTCTTTTGGATTGCTAGTAAATACAAATTAAATACTAGGGATAACCTGGTGTTCAAAGGATGGCCTAGCAATCCAATTTTCCCTCTCTGTAATGATGCAAATGAATCCCACGACCACCTATTCATTAAATATGGTTACTCCTCATTGGTATGGTCTTCTCTTCTTCCCCAAGTTCCATCAACAGCTTGGCCACTTAATTGGGAGGATATGATATCTTCCAATTTCAGTTCATCTTGTGGTCAAGATCTTGCTATTATCTGGAAGGTTTTACTCATGTGTTTCTGCAGGTGCATATGGAACTGTCGTAACAATTTCATCTTTAATGGCATTGAAGCTCTTCCATCCCACATCGCTGCTAACGTGGCAAGATTTGTTTTATTTTGGGCAGGATCCTCTGCTAGCAGATCAGGTCTCAAGCTCCACAAGGCAGCTATCAACTTGGGCATGGAAAACATTGCCCAAACTCATAATGTCGCAGAAGTGGCTGACAACTTCTCAGCAGTAACTTGACACCCAGAGCTGCAGTTCCAACCTATCTTTTGTAGGATTTTTGGTACAGCAAATAGCAGATCAGCTCTCAAATTTCACAAAGCTGCCATTACCCTAGGATTGAAGGAGATTGCTAATTCATTTACAGAGGAAATGGTTGGTGTAAACTTTCCTCCAGAGGGCTAAACAACGAAGTATCATCTCAGCTACTTTTG